TTAAAAAAAACTCCTCGATACCTGCGACGAAAACTTTGTTTGTTGCGAATTAAAATTCCGTAGAATCGTTACGAGCGAACGCAACTTTCCCGCTTTCCCCAAAATCCCTTCAAAGGGGGGGGGAGGGGAGAAAGCGCTTAAGAAGCGATCGACGCGATACGAATCGACATACGATACAATACAATGCAATAGAATGGGATACACAAGTAGGGTAACGATTACTAAAAAGGATTTTACGCAATGCCGGTTAATCCGGATTTTTCGAAAAAGTCGGAGGAGTCGTTCGAAAGGGTTGTTCCCTCGCGCGGGGAGAGAAACGCGAAGGTGAAACGGTTTATTCGAAGAAGAGAAGGATTCTGTAAATTCTATAATCCTCTCTTCTAGAAGATTCTAATGTCGAACAATCGTCGCGCAGGGCTGAGCACAGGTAATTTATGGCGTTTTGACTTCCCTTGGAATAGCGGCGCACGGATTAGCCGCATAGGAAAATCGATGGCGCCCGACCCCGTAATTTAGGGAGGATAACGTAATTTTCGTCTGTATTCGTCTGAAATAATTAAATTCTTGTATTATAATTTATAATTTAAATTTAACGATTTAAATTTGATTTAAATTCGATTCTCAGAAGAAATATATCGAATAAGGTGATCGAAGCAAAAATTCGATTCCTCAAATGAATGGGGAGGAAGAAATTGCTTTCTTCCGGGACGAAGGGAAGAGGCTTACTTTTAATGTTTATTACGAACAGTTGTGTCGGGACGATCTTTGGTTATTATGGGTATAAAGGTATTGAGATGTAGATTACCTGTGCACTTAAACACTCGTGCAGCGATCGTATCTGGGGGGATATCCGTGAATCGAATCGGTGCGTGGAGGTGGGGGCAGTGAAAATTTTGTTTTTATCTCGTTCGAAGGAAAGTTTATAGTACTTCAAGTTATGTTTCGAGTAATTAGGGAGGAGACTTCGAAAAGAGTCAAGTGTTTCGTTTCGCTAATCGTTTAACGACCAGAGCATCCTTTGAAAATTATACTACAAGTCCGATGTTTATCGACCCATTGTTTCCATTAGATAATTTGTGCATGAACATTCATGAAATATGACGTGGTTCGAGATGCCGATTACCGATACCGAATACTCCAGGCAATATTCCTTTCACTGAAAAATAGAAATATGGAAGGAATACGGTGTAATTTTAAGTTAACCTCGACTCGAGGAAAATTGCATTTTACCTCTCTCTCTTCCTCGAGAGAGTTTATTAATTATTCAAAATTTCGACTCTCTCTCTCTCTCTTTTTATTTTTTTTACTGCAAAAGATACGATAAAATTTCCAATTACGAGTAACAGAGACAGAAGGAATAATAAAGGAACGAGATAAAATTACAAATATCCGAACCGAGTTATCAAAAATTGATCAACGACGTAACGAGAGATAATTAATTAACATTTAAAACAAACACCCTTTCCACCCACCTTCGAGGGAAAGCCGAGGGCCGTTTAAAAAACAATAAAATCCCCGGTAAATACGCATCCCTCGATAAATATTAAATCAGCGGCAATTTGGAGGGGGAGGGCTCGACCAAAGTCCCAAATGGCGTCGAATATTCCCCGCGGTCGGATTTCGAGATCGGCGGGCCGTGCCTCCGCTTTTGTATAATGTAATCTAGAAGTTTGACAGGGTCTGACGGTGGATTGCCTTCGATCCGAGGCCGACGAAAGCCGGCGTCGGGTGGGACGGAAGGAGGAGGAGGAGGAGGAGGAACGGTGGTCGAGGGAGTGGCCCTCGAATCGAGGGATTATCTCGAGTATGGAGAAGTAATTACGCTGGAATTATATATATCTGGATCCACACTTGGTCTGCCCGCTCGAAACTCCTTGGAAAAACACCTCTTTCCCCCCCCCCC